AGCATAAATCAATTTACTGCCCTGTTTCCTTCCCAAAGACACCTCTTCATCCCTTGGTTAGCCTTTAAGAGCAGATGGGAAGCAAGTACCAGTGCCATGGGGAGCAGGGTGCTTCCAGAACCTGCTTTAGAACTTCCAGAACTTCACCCAAGTGCTTTGATGGGAGACTGACAAGGAATGAAGAGAATGCAAACACTGCACCAGACAATTGCAGAAGTGGCAGAAACTTCTAACCTGAACAGGAAGAGACTAAAGCCTGAACTTCTTAGGAATTTTCAGAAGTTAAAAGTATTTTTCAACTACATTTCAATAATGGCAGGTGGGGACGTGGCTTAGTGACAAACACAGGGGTGCCACAATAAAGGTTGGACCCGATGATCTTGGAGATGTCTTGCAACTTTAACAATTCTAGGACTCCAGTTTCTTGCAGCCTTCTCAGAAGCCTGTTGGGGAAAAGATTTGGGTGTTTATTTGCAAAGACAGCAAGGTCTTCCTGCCTTTGCCCTGATGGCCATGGCATGAGCCCAGTGCAGTGCTGGAAGAATGCTGCTCCAGGGCACAGCCCTGCTGGGAGCAACTCATCCCCCAGACAAAGATGTCATTACAACCCTACCAAGTGAGGCAGGTAATCACTGTCAATGCAGAGAGATCCTATCTCACCCACAGCCTCCTTCTGGCACCCTGAGGTTACCTCACCCTGTCCTGTTCTCCTCTGTGGTCAGTTCTAGAAAGCAAAACCCCTTCAGAGATAACAACTCAAGCAGAGCCACTGCAGTTGTGCTACAAGGCACCAACAGCCCCGTCCCAGCATCTGCAGACACCTGGATGGAACCAGAAATCCCATCCAGTGCCACCCCTGCCATGGGCAGGGACACCTTCCACTGGCCCAGTTCCCCTATTACCTGAGTCTGATGGAGAGAGAGCAGAGCAGGAGCTGAGCCTTCACCAAGGTGTCCTCAGACATTTCCAACATGCAGATCCCATGGCTCTAGCAGTGGGATGGAGGCTCTCCAGCGAGGATCCAGCACATCTGCTGGGGCTTTGTGCACCATCCCCACTCCCTCACCCTCCTCTGCACCAGTCCCAGCTGGTATCTCACTACCAGGGGTACTCCCCTTGTCTCCCAGAGCACTGGTAAAATGGGGCTGGGAGCCCCCCAGGATGACCCCAGTTCAGACTATTAAGGCATGAACAAATCAGAAAAAGAATTCTGAGTCGAGCTCATTCCAAATGTTTTAAAAGTCATTTTATTTTCCTCCTGTAACAACAAACACCCACTGAGGGGGAGGGAAAGAGGAGGGGATTACTTGAAAGCAGCCACAGGGTGAACCAGTGCTGCTGTTAGCACAGGAGCGGTGCGAGCACGTCGAACATCCCCCACGTGTGGGTGGGGAGCTGCCGTGCAGAGGGACCCGGAGCGGCTGGTTGGCAGCAGCTCAACGTGGGGCAGCAGAGAGCAGAGTGCCCGGGCAGCAAGGGGGAAAACCTCACCCTGGGCTGCACCAAACACAGCCAGCACCAAACACGACCAGCCGGGCACTTCTGTGCCCCGAGCTGCTTTAGTCTCAGGCGCTCTTTCCGAAATTTCTCTGCGCTTCAGCTGGCTGCTGTTTGGTCGTGCAGGCACCGAGGTCTTGGAGCGATCCTTGTCCATGGGATGGTGCTCTCTGAAGGAAATGGGAAAGCCTGGGCGGCAGAGGGTGCTGTGAAAGTGCTGGTGAGGGAGATGGTCTCTTGCCCAAACCCTCATGGAAGGTGTTGGGGTTTGACATATTTAAAAAAAAAAACAACAAAACAACACAATTGTCCACCTCTTGAGGTGGTTCTTTAGCCTGGCCACCCAGGGCAGGAGCTCTGTGGGGATGGAGCCCTCTCTGCTGGGAGGATGGGAGAGGGCAGCCTGTCCAGGTCCAGCCCTGTCACCATCTGTGCTGGGGACAGTGACACCATGACTGTGCTGCTTTGTCGGGGTGAGAGGGGGGTTTTAGTTGCATTGGTGTAATTTCAGGCCCTGTGAGGTTGTCCCTGATGGGGGCCAAGGCTGGACCACAGACTCGCAGAGGCTGCTGCCAGTCAGCATCACCACCATGCCCTGGCTGGCTTTGCATTTCTTCTCTCTGCAGTTGTGGAGGAGCAGGAGGGGGAGAAACAAGCCCCTCCATAAATCCCCTGTATTTTCCAGCTGATTATAAGGGGTTTTGTTGTTCTTTGTGATGCAGAGCTGGTGAGACATTTCTTTTTGTGTGTGCATGGGTGCTGTTGAGTTTGATTTAGCAAGAAACTTGAGCTCAGGTTTTTCTGGTTTGTGTGAGTGGAGCAGAGTGTAAAGTCTGCTACTGAAAAAAAAGCCCCACCCAACCCCCAAGCCCCCAGGGCACTCATGTCTTTGGTCTGCTTTCCTCCTTCGTCACCAGGGGGAGAAGCAAAGCTCTGTGCAGCCTGTGCTGAGCTCTGTCCCTACCTGATCATTTTACTGCTCGCATGACTGAACCCCTCCCAACCCTCCCTCTGAGGCTATTTTGCAAACCACCACAGGTCATCAGCAGGGTGGAAAGCACACCTTGGCTTCAAGGAGGAGCAATTGTCCCTTGGATGCTGAGCTGAGTGGTTAAAGAGGGAGGTGTGGCCCTGGTGTGCTGGGTCCAGCCCTGGAGTCCCCTGGTGTGACAGGCAGGCAGCTGGAATTCCTCTGCAGAGGAATGCCAAAAATGCAGCTCCCAGCTGGAGGACACCACAAGACCTGTGCTGCTGCTGGTGATGGGGATGTTGCCCAGCAGCTCACCTGCCTTTTTAGGATGTGGGACTTTGCTGCTGAGCTCCCTGGGATCTGGGATGCTGTGTGTGGATCACTGGGCAGGGGAGGAGCATTGGGCAGTGTGACTGGAGAGGGACTGGGCTTTCAGGTGTTGATGGATGAGTCCCAACCCCTCCATGTGTCTTTATAAGCCAGGAGGATGGGTTTGCTCAGTGCCACCAACCCTGCTGACGGCACGGATGGGCCTGGAGCAGCAGGTAGGTCGAGGTGCAGTGCCTGCTCTCCTTCTGGCCCGGGCTGCTGCTGAAAGAAAGGATCCCAACCAAGCCAAGAGGCTTTATTATCCCTCCAGCTGCTCATTTATGCATGGAGAACTTGAGCATTGTGGTCACCATCACAGTTAAAGGGTCTGCTTCGCAGCTCTGCATCTGAGCTTCTCACTTTTTTTTGCAGGCATGAGCTCTGGTGCTTCCCAGTGAGCTGAGGGGGTGCTGTGAGTCCTCCTGGATGTGGTTAGACATTTTCCTGGGTCTTTATCCATATTGGCTGTGTGAGGGGGATGTTGGCTGGGTTGGATCACTCAGGGCTGATGCATGGGGAAGGGCAGCTCTGAGGAGGAGCAGAGACCATCTCTGTCCTGCTTGCCCATGCCCAGGGACCTGTAGCAGAGCAGCAGTTTGTCACTGGTGGTTGTGGGTTTGGATGGTGGGATGTGTTGCAGCCTCCCTCCCATCTGTCATTTGGGCTTGTCTTTATGTGTTCCTACCCTGTGTTCACCCCCCAGCCCCGGGGTCTGTTAGTGCTTGCTGAGTGCCACAGGAATGCACAGTGACTAATCCTTCCCTCTTTGCCACAAGGGCTTTAATCCCTTGGGATACCAGGAGGAGTTGCTTCTGTAACTGCTGACTGTTCATCTCTCAGTGACCACTCTCTGGAATCTGTGGTGTTTGTGGCACAGCTTGTGGCCACCGTGGTGTGCCACCACAACATCTGGGTGACACTGGGGTGGGCAGCAGAGCCTCCAGCATGGTGGTGGTGACCTCCAAGACATGTGGGAAGTCTTAGTGCCACAGCTCAGGAGCTGGCTGAGAGGGTGTTTGGAGCAGGAAATTCTCATCACAAAATGTGCACGAGCTGCAGAAACCACAGGCCTGTGGGCTGTTGCTGGTCATGGAGCAGTGGATGGTCCTCTTGCATGTGGTGGAGTGCAGGGCTGGCTGCAGATGGAAGGGAGATGGACTGTAGGGGCAGAACTTGGCAAGGATTGGACCCCTTTCTGGACAGGGGACAGGGAAAGGCTGCTCCAGCTGGCTCCAGCCCAGCCATGGCTTTTTTAAGGGGACTTCTGCAGACTTCTGGTCCAACTTCCTACTCAGAGCAGGACCACCTCCAGTGCTGCTCAGGCCAGCCCTGGTTTTATCCAGCCAAGTTGCAGACCCAAGGGAAAGAAGCTCTTTCCCAAGTGACAAGCTCAACAAGAAAACACAACAGGTATGAAACTCTGTGTGGGTTTTGCAACAAGAAAACAGCCCTGAGAAGCATCTTGTCATATCTGGCCTCTCCTAATTCCTGTGGAGGCTTGGCTTCTCGGTCCCCAGTAATCCACTTGCTTACTGGAGTGGCTATTTCAGTAATTTGGCCAGTCTTTGATGTCCCCAGGCCTGGCCTGCAATGTCTTGCCTGTGTCTGTGTGCAACTAAGCTGGGTGAGATTCAGCTGCTGTAACTCCTGCCTGCCTGCTGCCCTTCCCACCTTCCTTCCACGTGCAGCTGGAGGGGCTGCAGGACTAAAAGCATCTTAAAGTGGTGATTTGCACCAACAGGTCCAATCTGTAGTTGTGGACACTGGTGTTGGGCAACTGGACAGGGCAAGAGGATGTCTGGTTCAGCAATGTGGTTTGTCTACAGGGTCACAGAACAATCTGTCCTCTCCTTCCTTCAACCATCCCAGCAGTGGAACCCCAGGATATCCTCTCCTCATGGAGATGTAGGCACTGAGATGTTGATGGTGGACTTGAACACAGAGCAAGACTTGAGTTGGCACTTTGTTTTCCTGTCATAGTGAGATTTTTTTCCATGCCCCACATGCAGTGGGTAGGTGTTGCCATTTTGCTGAGCAACCCAGGAAAAGCTTTCCATGCTGTGAGGATGCTGGGAAAATGCTCCCAGACAACTCCTCTGGGAGAGAAGGAGTTATCTTTAGCTCCTGCAACAGCATCATTAGGGAAATGGACTTTGCTGGATCTGTCCTGAAGTCTGGAACCTCTTGGGCTGGTGTGCTGGGGATGGCAGGGCACACCAGGAGCACGGGGCAACGAGCTGTAAACCACCCAGGGCAGGGATGGAGCAGGGAGGCTCCGGCAGAATGGATCTCTGACACAACCCCTCCCTGCTTGAGGGACGATGCTTCCCCTGAAATGCATCCCCTGAAAGCACCCCTGTGCTTTTCCCAGTGGGGGGGTGGCAGGAGGCTGCTTGTCCCACACTGCAGTTGCAGCTGGACTAGGTGGGAATGGTCAGCAAGAGGCTCGGAATGGGTTCCTGACTGCACAGGGGGTTGGAAACACCTGCCCCACGTTGCAGCATGGGGCTGCTGGATGCTGGAGCTGCACAGAGTTCCCTCGTGCTGCCAGTGCCCCCCCTGCTCATGCCAACCCCATCGTCCCCCAGGTGCTGCGGAGAGGGGAGATGTGGCTGCTGCTGGTGGCCCTGTGCCTGTCCCAGGGCCTGGGCGGTGCCATCCCAGTCACTGAAGAACTCCACAACCCCGAGAGGTTCATGAACATTGTAAGTGCTGGGAGGGCAAACACACCCCTGCGGAACCCAGGCTTCCCCAAAGCCCTTCCTGAGGGACCAGCTGGGCTCACCCCATCCCTGTTCCTGACATCTGGGGATCTGGGAGCGTCAAAAGTGTCCTGTATTTGCATGGGTGTCACTCACTTCATGCCCTCAGCGTGAGCTTGGTCTCTCCCTGCTCTTCCTTTAGTGCAGAGGGACCTTCAGACAGCGGGTGGCCGGAGCGGGTCAAACTGAGGTCAGGCATGGGGTGGTGGCTCACCCTCTCCCCCTGCACCATTGTCCCTGCAGAGCCAGAAGATCCGTTTCCAGGGCTATCCCAGCGAGGAGTACGAGGTGACGACAGAGGACGGCTACATCCTCAGCCTCAACAGGATCCCCCACGGCAGAGCGGGTGCTGGGCACTCAGGTGGGCACCGAGGGTGAAGCAGCTGTGACCCTGCCAGAGACGAGGCAGCGTGCAAGGGCAGCCAGTGGGACTGCCCCTGCCTTCACAGGGGGTTTTGGCAGCTAGAAGAGGCACGAGAAGTGTTTGCCCAGCTGCCCTGAGCTGTCCCTTGGGATGCAGGAGCTCAGCATCCAGGAAGGGGCAACGTGACCCAGTGAGCCCCAGCACCTCCTTCCCTGCAGCAAACCCCATGTCCTGGTCCAGTGTTCCCTGAGAGCTCGGGGCCTGGGATGGCAAAAGCCCTTCCAACAAAAAAAGCACCAGCAGAGCCAGGGAAATGATGGGATTGGGGAATGTTTAGCGTGCAGCCTGTGGAAAATTACATCAAGATGCACAGGGGTGTTTTATTTCCATAGGGGAAAGGCATCTTCTTCTCTCAACTACCTGCTACCTCCTTTTCCAGCACCCAGGACACCCGTGTTGATCGTGCACGGGTTCTCTTTGGA